GTAAAAAAAAAAAAAAAAAAACATAATTAGATATTTTCCCAAAATCGCACAGACCTAAAAGACACTGCCTGTTGTTCAAGAGTAGCTAGACGCAATATATGCAACAGCTGAAACCAATGTCTTGCATAAGTCTGTGCGTAGTGGTTCTCAAAGCACTGACTGCAGCTGCAGTCCACTCTTTTTGAATCTCCCCCACATTTTTGACAGGGTTTTGTTTTACAATTCTCTCCAGGGTGCGGTTATTGCACGTACACTTTTTTCTACCACATCTTTTCCTTCCCTTCACCACTCTATTAATGTGCTTGGAGACAAAGCTCTGTGAACAGCTTTGTGCAAAGTGTCAATAGTTGTCTTTTAGTCAACTGTCAAATCAGCTGTCTTTCCCATGATTGTGTAGCCTACAGAACTAGACTGGGAGGCCCTTTAAAGGGCTTTGCATGAGTTTTAAGTTAATTAGCTGATAATAGTGTGACACTAGGTGTCTTCAAAACCTAACCTTTTCACAGTATTCAAATTTTCTAAGATAATGAATTTGGGGCTTTTATGAGTTGCAATGAAAATAATCAAAATTAAAAGTAATAAACTCTAGAACTATATCCGTCTGTCTGGAATAAATGTATACATTATACAAGTTTCACTTCTTGAATGGAATTATTGAAATTAATCATTTTTTGTTAAGGTCTAAAGCAGTTTCCATACTACCAGTGATCAAACTGATAAATATTGACAAGCAGCTGTACTATGGTTTCTTATATTGTCAACAATCTCACTTGTTCATGTTGGCTCCAATCGACAATGTAAAATGGCTAAACAAGCTGGTTGTTTTACGCTTCATCGGTTAAACTCCATCCTCAATTAATCACACCTTAACCAGCAAATCAACACCTTCGGCATAGCTAGAAATATCCTGCTGGGTGTGTAGGAGGTAAACTCTGGAGTCATCCAAGAGCAAGACTGGACATCCCTGTTTTACTGAAAATCAGGCAAGTGAATATCAATACTGTTTATTTACAATCCCTTTACATTTACAAGACTTGACACCCTCACCTATTTTTGGAGTCCTATCGGGAATGTCTTTCAAAGTATTACCTCTCTGAAAGCACAGTACACTCTTTCTCATTTGGGAAGCCTAATCTAAACAACAAATACAGCCGAAGCGGAGCTGTCCAACCTGATGAAGCCACCCAAGCAGGAAAAGAGATTGAACATTTGCACACAACAAATCCAAAATGTTCATTTAGAGAGTAAGGGGCATTAGCCGGGGCTGTATCAGCACAACAGATCAACCACTGAGATGTATATTTTTGGCATAGTTTTATCTTTATCCCTTTCACCCTATGTCTCTACTTCGACTATTGGGATAAAGCCTCGGAAATGTACCACTAAAAACTAATGCAGCAAAAATCTCTTGCGTTAATAAAAATGAGGACTTGGCACTTGGCCTAATTTAAAATAGTAGACATGGCTTTAGCCACTGTGGTTTTAAAGCACTCATAAGAAAAAGTGCTTAAAAACAACATCAATTTTACACCAGCAGTGACAATACAGCTCTGAAGGAGACAGGTAGTAAATTCAGACAGTAAATTCTCAGGTAATACTTCTGAATAATGTATTGAAAGTACAAGACCATTTGTCACAAGTCTTTTAGAGGAATAGTTCACCAAAAATACAGGTATTTTAAAATCTCATGCTGTACCAACGTTTCTCTTTGTGAATCCCAGGAAAAATGAAAGTCATAGGTTTGTAACAGCATGAGTGAATACACATTTTTTAGGTGGAATATCACATTACACAGCAGGAACAGACTGGGAACAGATTGACGTTGTACTCCAGCGTCATGGAGACATTTCATTTTGTATGAAAATAAAATCAAGTTGATGTCAGAACCCAACGTCAGGCATCAATGTCCAACATCCAGCCTAAAATGAACCAAATATCAACGTCTATTGATGTTACAGCTTCACCTTGTGTGGATGTTACCACTATGACGTCTATCAGACGTTGGATTTTGGTTGCCATAACTGACGAATAAATAAATGCCATTATTTGACGTCAATGTGAGATTGGTTTAAGATGTTGGCTCTGCGTTGGATTTTGGTCACTCTCCAACACAACCTAAAATCAAGCAAATATCAACATCATTTGATGTTGTTATTGGACGTCAAAATAATGTTGTCCTTAGACGCTATTTTTGGTCATCTGACATTAGGGTTGGGCGATGTCGACCAATTTGGCATTCAACGATGTCTAATGTGAAACATCGCAATGGACATTGGCATCGTTATCATGTGAAAAGCGGGGATGGGGGGGGGGTGATGTTTGATAGAATGTGCGCGATAAAGGGATCCGGGGGTGTGAAAGGGTGCGCGACTTATTTGAGGACCGGGAGGGAGACGCGCGACTTATTTGAGGACCGGGAGGGAGACGCGCGATTTCCGGGACATTATCACTGGTTTGCGGGCATTGTGAGTCCCGTAAATGCATAGAGACTCTTAGAACTTCCGGGAGACTTGGGATGTCTGAATATCACATTTAACAACTATAGTGAGAAGCGATCCAGCGGTACATACTTAATATAGTGTCCGCTGTGCACTGCTCTCTGCCTGGAGCTCAGAGGCGCATGACAGTGCGTGTCTGTGTCTGTGTGTGTGTGTGGTCTCGTGATGTGCGTTTTCAGCGGACGGAGGCTGTATAGAAATGCTAGGTAAAACACGGTGTGTATGTGGATAATTTTCGTTCTAAAATGCCATTTTGATACTAAGACATATCAGTGTAAACGGGGCCAAGTGTGTATTTTTCGCGAGCGGGTTTGCGACAGTAGCGGGGTGGAGGATTGGCGATGCCGTGTCAGCATTGTGTTGTCAATTTGCCATCACCGATGGACAATGGGATAGTCTATCAGCCCAACCCTATCTGACATCATGACCTAAATCTAACCTAATATTAACGTCTTATGACGTTGTGTGCCTGCTGGCTATTTTTTACACCATATTAAGGATTAGGTTGACACATGGTAAACTTCATTTCAGTGGTGACTGTTGCTGCTTGTACTGAAAGTGTGAATGCTATTTTGGAGTTCTACACACCATTCAAACTGTTCACATTGTGAATTTGTCTCTTGCAGTCTGCCCAGCAGTACAATGCATTAAATAAGTAGCTTGTAAAACAACCATCTCTAATCCCGCTCTCGCAGGGTCAATGTCAGGCAGAGTTTAGCTTCAACCTGACCTAACTTTCCAGGAATCTCCTACTAATCTTGAACATCTTGATTAATGGGATTGGACCTAAACGCTGCAGTGAAATGGACCTCCAGATGCTGGTTTTAGGATAAACACATGCCTGTGTTTTGGGATATGCCAAGTCTCAAAACCCGACTGACATTGGTAGAATGATTTACCGGTCATCGCAATGTAGGTCAGGGGCTGTGCACCAGTGGTTCCCAATTCCGTTTCTCTCATTTGACACAGGGATCAGTTCATGGATCTCTCCGTAAATGAGCTGATGATCTGAATCAGGTGTGTTAAGTAAGGAAGACATGCAAAATATGCAGGGTGGGGGCTGCCAGGAAACTGGAATTGGGATCCATGGATTTACACTACAGTTTTCAGCTATAACAGGAAATTTTTTAATGCATTTTTGACTGATTATTTACAAAATAATAAAAAAAATGTGTTTCCAGCAAATAGTTGAAGTCAAAATTATAAGCCATTTTTTTAACTAGTGTGAATTAAATGAATATCATAAGTGTTGTTTAACAGAGATACTAATTTTTTCAACACATTTTAATGTGTTTTATTTTAATAAAAATTTTATTTTTTTGTCTTTGCCTTGACAACAGTGCACAATACTTTACTAGTTATTTTGTGAGATACTTCTCGAGCTTAAAGTGCAATATATATATATATATATATATATATATATATATATATATATATATATATATATATATATATATATATATATATATATATATATACACACATATATGTATATATATATATATATTTTTTTTTTTTTTTAATGCTGAAAATGCATAAATCTGTGTATTGTGAAGTAAATCAACACTTTGCTGACGAAGCATTAGCGAACACTTGAGCAACAACAACACTACTAAGTTATTCAAAGACACCGTTGTCATGTCTTTGAAAATGATGACATCATGCGCATGAATACAGTAGCAGGTGTTTTTGTGAGTGTAGATTAAAGGCAAACAAACATCAATGGCGAAGTAAGCAGCAGTGTTGTTGTTGCTCAAGTGTTCGCTAATGCTTCGTCAGCAAAGTGTTGATTTACTTCACATTACAACACACAGAGGAGACGCAGCATCCACACAAAAAATTCTACATACACACCATACACACTGGCCCATGGTTCAGGTACTGCTTACAAACAAAGCGACAGTGTCAAACACTGGCCTATCATACATAATACAGCGTTTTTGGCAGATTTTGAAATCGTTGTCGTATACTTTTTTAAAATGCAAAGGGAAAAACTTTGGGCTACATCGATGTCGTTTAGAGACTGAAAAGTGAGAGCCTATGGATGAACATAATTAATTTTACAGCTCAGGAGGCTTTACAGTCTTCTAGACGACCCCCCTTTCTCAATGACAGCTGCACTGCATCCCTGCGTAAGCCCTTTAGGCTCGCTCTAAACCCTATTATATCTCTCTTAACTTCACCCTTACCACCATTCCTGTCTTCACATTGTTCCACCAAAACTCCAGCAACATGGGTTGCCTTTTACTCCCAAATCCTCCATATCACGCCTTCCCACCAACATCTTTCTCTCTCATGCGATAAATTAAGCGTATTCCACATCTACCTTTTTTTCTTATCTTCTGCTTACGCCTCATCTCCAATTCAGCACACAGGGCAGGGTTTGCGAATGCTCCATCGGAGGTAAATTAATTGCACGCACTTCCTTATCGTTCGTCATTCCGTAAGACTAGAGCTTAATGTTTCTTTTTTCCAGCTAATTTCCTTTGACTTTCTCCTCACCTGCAGTCCAGGCGTTCCAGCTCAAAGTGGGGGTTGAAGTTGAGCACGATGCGCTGTGAGGGTTCGGGTGCGCTGATCACCCACTGACAGCTCTGATGGGGCGGGTATTCCAGAGGGTATCCTGGAGATGTGATGTAGCCGGCTCCGCTGGCATCCAGGTGGCCTCCACATGTCTCACCTGGGGATAACACAAACAGAAAGAAAGTGAGCTGAGGTAGTTTTTAAGATAAGTTAGTTATTAGCCACATACTTAACGCTAATTTGGCCAAGCAGAGCAGCGCGAACTCAAGGCAAATTAAATACATAAATCAAGAGCGCTAGCAAATCCCTGAGCGAGCACTGCATGGCTAACAGGAAAATGTATCATGTTGTCAAAACACACAAGGGACAAAAACAACGCTATATAAAGTTAAAGCCATCATTAAATCAAAATTAGCTCCATTTCCTTTATTAATAGGCGTTTCCGCAGCTAATGGTGCATCTTGGAAGGTGTCAGCAAGGCTTTTTGGAAATGCATCACATTCATTTCATTATTAGATTTATCAGGGGCCGCCACAGCGGAATGCACCGCCAACTTCTCTGGCATTTGCTTTAAACGTATGCCCTTCCACAACCGAGCACTGGGAAACACCCATACATTTTTATTCACACTCATACACCATGGCCAATTTTATTCATTTATTAATTTTTCTTTAGCTTAGTCCCTTATTTATCAGGAGTCGCCACAATGGAATGAACCACCAACTATTCCAGCATATGTTTTAAGCAACGGATGCCCCTCCAGCTGGGGCTGGGCGATTTGGCCTAGAATCTAAATCTCGATTAACTGAACATTTTAACTTGATTATGATCAGTGAGTGATTATTTATTTATTTATTTTATGTTTTTGCCCTCATAGTTCACCGACAAGTTTTGTGAAGTAAATATGCTCACATATTACAAGTGAGAAATTTTTGAATGAAGGAGGCATTACTAGATTTTAAAATAATTGACGGAAACACACACTATTTACTATTTGTGATTATTAATTGAACATCAATGCTGAAACAACTGAAATTAAAACATCGCCTAAAACGCAGCTCTTCTCGCCGCCCAACTTCGTCACCGTTACCTAACCGACCAATCACAAAGCTTGCACTACGTGTCGTGACGAGTAGTTAAAATTTTTTGAGAGGATTTTATGCGAAGGCTACGCCAGACCGTGCGCATGCCCTTGGCAGAAGTATATCAGAATAATATAATAAGTAAATCAAAATATGACGACTCCACACACGGTAGGGAAAGTAATTAAAAAAATTGACCTGGAAAAATTTTATCAAATATAGATTCTGAATGTTGATTTTGATTACTTTTCGATTAATTGCCCAGCCCTACTTCCAGCCACAACCCAGTACTGGGAAACACCCATACATTATTTTATTCACACACTCATACACTATGGCCAGATTTATTAATTGATGCTTTTTCCTTCAGGTTATGCCCTTATTATTGGGGTCGCCACAGTGGAATGAACCACTAACTATTACAGCATATATTTTATGCAGCGGATGCACTTCCAACCCAGCACTGGGAAACACTCTCACATTCACAGTCATCCACTACGGCCAATTTAGTTCACCCTATTCCCCTATAGCTCATGTCTTTGGACTGTGGGGGAAACCGGAGCACCCAGAGGAAACATGGGGAGAACATGCAAACTCCACACAGAAATGGCTACTGGCCCAGTTGGGATTTGAACAAGCAACCTTTTTGCTGTGAGGCAACATACGGCCAATTTAGTTCATCCACTTATACATCACAATGCAGAAGTAAAATTAGTTGAGAATGCTGACTTATACAGCTGATATAGTACATCCCTAATGTGCAGATGCTGTATTTATAAATTAAATACTGCTTTAATTTGACAATTCGTGACAAGTAGCCCACATTCCAATTACCTAATGTGCTTTTAAGTTTTCCGCACAATGCATGCAGGAGCCTGAAAGCATTCAATATATTCATAATGGTCTCTTCATAAATGGTCTCTCCTACCATAACTCTGAGACAGGAAGTGACACGCAGGTCTCTTCTCTGGAGGTTCAAGGGTCACCCTTAAAAGCTGCAATGGGATCCAGCATAACAAAGCCTTTTTTTTGACCACCCCACCCGACGTGCTTTCTCTGTTATCTTCACCAAACACTCCTTCCATGTGCTAGCGTTCATGCTAACATGCTCAACGGCCCTTTCGCTCGCCGCTCTCACACATAGCGGATATCATTCTGGTCATTATTATTCTAAATGGAGCTAAGATTAGGAGACAGAAATACTTTCTGGTCCTTCACCATGACAACCGTGCTGTGAGGGGTTTTTAACCACATGCCAGCCAAACGGCAACTGAGGAATTAGCAGATGGGTCATTCCTACTATGCAGCACATTTTCATGCCTCCTTTGTAGAATATTTAACTCACAATTTGCAAAAAAGGAATATTGTTGTGGTTTTTATTTGAATGTTAGATCACAGAACATTGACCTTGAGTAAATTAATAGCCTTGGTTTTAAATTAGTACAGTTTGGATTGATGATGTAATTTTTTCAATGTCCTTTTGAGCTGTACTCCTCTCAATTGTATCGTATTTAAATATATTTATTCATTAATAATAGTCCAGATGTTCTTTTTTTCTCTCTTTTTGGAAATTGATGATTAATAACCGAGCCAACATGAAATGTTCTCGTAACTTTGGTTAATGTTCTCTAAAGGTTCTCTCAAAGTTATCAAAAACATTCTTGCATAATGTTTGAGAATGTATCCTAAATTCATTTATTCATTTTCCTTCAGATTAGTCCCTTTATTCATCAGGGGCTGCCACTGTGGAATGAACTGCCAACTTACCCAGCATATGTTTTACGCAGCGGATGCCCTTCCAGCTGCAACCCAGTACTAGAAAACACACTCATTCCCACTCATACACTACCGCCAATTTAGTTTATTCAATACTGCATGTCTTTGGACTGTGGGGGAGAACATGCAAACTCCACACAGAAATGCCAACTGACCCAGCTGGCGATCGAACCAGCAACCTTTTAACTGTGAGGCGACAGTGCTAACTACAAAGCCAAGGTGTGGTCCTTATGTTTTCTTAATGTTATTTAGAATTAATTAATGTTATAAATATGTTAGCAACAAAATATTTCTACTTCACATTAAAAAGGTTACCATTAAGTTATAAATGTAACATTCTAAATATGAAAGGATAAAAATGTTATCAGGCGGTGCGGTGGAGCAGTGGGTAGCGCTGTTGCCTCAAAGCAAGAAGGTCACTAGTTCACGCCTTGGCTTGGTTAGTTGGCATTTAAAGCCAAAAAGAAAATGAATGAATGAATGAATGAATGAAAAATGCTATCATTGTGTTTTGTTGGAACATTTTATATACGTTTTAAGTTATTTAAACATTAATATAACAAGAGAATCAAATGTTCTAAAACTGTTTTTAATAATGTTCTCATAACCAAACAATAATGTTAAATCAACATCTAAATAAACAGGACAAAATTGAGACAGGATGTGAAGTTAGAGAGACAGAGGTAGGGTAGGGAAATGTCCTCAAGCCAGGATTCAAACTCGGGATGCCCTGATGTGCTACTGTACAATATGTCTGCGCGCTAACCACTAAGCTATCGCGACAACTCTTGCACATCATTTTAAATCCAGTCATTCCTTCCTTGCCAACTGACCCAGTCAGGACTCGAACCAGAAACCTTCAGGCATTGAGGTGACAGTGCTAACCACGAAGCCACTATGCCCCCCTAACGCTTCCTTAATGTTATTTATAATTAATAAATACGTTTAAAAAATGTAATAAAAACGTTAGCAACAAAACATTATCGATGTGTTTTAGGGGGAATGTTTTAAAAACATTACCATTAAGTTATAAATGGAACATTCAAAAAATGTTAGGATAACATTATCATTATCATCATGTTATCATTACCATTGTGTTCTAATAACGTTCAAACTAAATGTTTTATTACATAATTAAAACGTTATGGGAACATTTTTATAACGTAAATTTATTAGCTTGAAAGTTATTTATTCGCTATTTCACACTTTATTTTATATTCTGTCTTTATATTCTTAGTCTTTTGTTGAAATTATTTAAAATCAGTTCTTTATTTATGTTTGAACCATACTAAAATTAAAAAAAATTAACTATTTAGTCTAACATTGGTGATTATTTCACAGATTTTGGTGTGTCCTTGGCTTGTGCACATAATTTTAAATAGTCATTCATTTATTCATTCATTCATTTTTCTTTACCTTAGTCCCTTTATTAATTAGGGGTCGTCACAGTGGAATGAACCACAAACTTATCCATCATATATTTTGCACAACGGATGCGCCTTCCAGCTGCAACTCACTATTGGGAAACACCCATACACACTCGTACACTATGGCCAATTTAGTTCATCCAATTCACATATACCGCATGTCTTTGGGCTGTGAGGAAAACCGGAGCCCCCGGAGGAAACCCACACCAACACAGGGAGAACATGCAAACTTAAACCACACAGAAATGCCAACTGACCCAGCTAGGACTCGAACCAGCGACCTTCTTGCTGTGAGACGACACTGAGCCACCATGTCGCCTAAATCCAGTCATTCCTTTGTAAAAACCTCAGCCAACAAAAGTCAGCTCCCGCATGACATCATCCTCCAGAAATGGATGAGGGATCATCAGTGAGGAAAAAGCAGCGTAAAATATTCAAAACATTATTCCATCAAGTCAGTCCCTCATCGAGTGATGACAAATGTCTGCAAATATATTAAACATTAGACCGGGAGAGTCTAATTTTGACCTGTATATATTTGATATTAATCTCCATAGAAGCATTTCCTTGTTGTTTTTAAAGACTACATGTTTAAAACGGCACTGCATATAAGGAAAGACTCACATCGAGAACATGGCCATGCGTGATAACTGGCTTATGAAAAGACAAGCTTGAAGATTATATTTTCTGTGAGACAAAATCCAAAATACACCTTCACAAAAGGAGAATGTATCTCGCTATCGCACTTATGTTTGGTGGGATACATCACAGCATACATCAGAAAGGGGAAAGTGGGAATAGTGCAGGTTCAGAGAGGAAGAGGCTGGTTTGATTGACAGTTCTGGGTCTTATGTTGTCTTCTGCAAACACGT